TTTGGCCCCACCCTTTAGGAAAGGAGGCGTGTGTTCTTTCAGTGCCTTACAGACGGAATGCAAATTTAGCAGGCAAGAGATAAGAAATAGAAACAAGCTCTGGTGGGAGGGGCAGTGTAGCGGGAGGCTGGCTGTGTAACCTGGTGAGGACCAGGACCGATTTAAACATTCTGCTCCTCAAATGTAAAACGGTGTACCCTCAATGAATCCCCAACAATTAAAAAAAAAAAAAACCTAGGGAAAAAAAGAAATGATTAATTCCTCTGACTACAGAATTAATAAAATGAACATTATTTCTTTGTGGAAAAAAATATATAAAATGGTGCAGCCTCGGTAGAAAATAATTAAACATAAAATGTTCCTCAAATAATTAAAGATAAAATTATCTTATAATCAGCCATCCTATTCTAGGTACCATATATACCCAAAAGAACTGAAAGTAGGGACTCAGAGATTTGTCTGTTTATAGCAGTATTCACAAAAGGGAGAAGCAACCGATGTGTCCACAGAGATGTATAGACAAATAAAACGTATATACTGTACAGACAGTGGAATGTCACTCAGCCTTAAAATGAATGGAGCTCTGATGTATGCCATAACATGGGATGAACCCTGAAAACATTATGCCAAGTTGAATAAACAAAAAGACAAATATTTCATGATTCTACTTAGATGAGGTAGCTAAAGCAGTAAAATTCAAAGACAGCAAAAGTCAAATGATAGTTGAGGGGGGTGAGGTGAGGAGGAAATGGGGGATTAGTGTGTAATGGATACAGAGATTCAGTGGTGAAGATGAAAGTTCTGGAGATGGATAGCAATGCTGGTTGCACAACAGTGTTTTCTTCGTTATTGTTTTTGTTTTTGAGACAGTCTCACTCTGTCACACGGGGTGCCACGGCATCATCATAACTCAGCAACCTCAAACTCTTGGGCTCAAGAGAACCTCTTGCCTCACCCTCCCCAGTAGCTAGTACTACACGTGTGAGCCACCACACTCAGATAATTTTTATATTTTTAGTAGATATTTGGTCTCACTCTTGCTCAGGCTGGTCTCAAACTCTTGAGCTCAAGAAATCTACCTGCCTTGGCCTCCAAAAGCACCAGGATTAAAGGTGTGAGCCACTGTACACCAGACACAACAGTGTTCTTAATGCCACTGAACTGTACACTTTAAAAACTGTTAAAATGGTAAATTTTATGTTAAGTGTATTTTACCAGCCAAAAAAAGTTTTAAAAAGTAAATAAATATCTTTGTATACATCACTTACCTTGTCTATATTACTTGCCCACCCATGGATCATAGAAAAGTGAGAGATTGGGTGGCGCCTGTGGCTCAGTGAGTAGGGCACCCGCCCCATATACTGAAGGTGACAGGTTTGAACTCGGCCCTGGCCAAACTGCAACAAAAAAATAGCTGGGCATTGTGGTGGGCACCTATAGTCCCAGCTACTTGGGAGGCTGAGGCAAGAGAACGGTCTAAGCCCAAGAGCTGGAGGTTGCTGTGAGCTGTGATGCTACAGCACTCTACCCAGGATGACAAAGTGAAACTCTGTCCCCTCACCCCTCCCAAAAAAAGGAAAAAAAAGAAAAGTGAGAGATCATTGATTTAGTCTCTGAATCTCCTTCTTACCATCAGTGAAATGGAAATGGCTGGGTAGAATTTCCATGATTCTATATAGAGATGTTGCATCAAAAAAGAGAGGACATGAGGAATAACCCTTGTGAAAGATAAGATACACAGAACTGCATAAATAAATGTTGGTGCCTACTGAATTTTGGAACTCTGATACAGATTACACAAATTTTTTATTTTAAAAAATAATTCAAAACATTTAAATATTGCAGACACACGGAAAATCCCTACATATAGCAAGTAAGTGTCCACTACAAAAATTATCATATTTTCATATTTTGCTATATATACCAAATATTTTATTTCTTTCTTTCTTTCTTTCTTTCTTTCTTTCTTTTTTTTTTTTTTGAGATAGAGCCTCAAGTTGTCCCCCTGAGTAGAGTGCTGTGGCATCACAACTCACGGCAACCTCCAACTCCTGGGCTCAAGCGAGTTTCCTGCCTCCGCCTCCCAAGTAGCTGGGGCCACAGGTGCCCGCCACAACACCTGGCTATTTTTTTTGGTTGCAGCCGTCATTGTTGTTTGGCGGGCCTGAGCTGAATTCGAACCCACCACCTTAGTTGTATCTGGTTGTTGCCTTTGTCACTTGAGCCACAGGTGCCGAGCCACGTTTGTTCAGTTTTCAAGATAATCTCACTCTTTTGCTCAGGCTAGAACGCCATGGCCTCAGCTTAGCTCACAGCAACCTCAAACTCCTGGATTCAAGCGATCCTTCTGCATCAGCCTCCTGAGTAGCTGAGTATATTTTACCTTTTGATTTTTTTTATTATCTTTAACTCCATGAGAGCAGGGATTTGTTTTTCCTTAAGAGTCTTACTCTGTCATCCCAGCTAAAGCACAGTGGCATCTTAGCTCACTGCCCAACTCTGGGCCTTAAGTGATCTTCCTGCCTCAACCTCTCCATTAGCTGAGATTAGAGGCACGTGCCATCAAGCCCAGGTAATGTTTCTATCTTTTGTAGAGATGGTTTCACTGTTGCTCATGCTGGCCTGGAACTCCTGATCTCAAGTGATTCCTCCTGCCTCAGCCTCCTGGAGTGGCTAGGATTATAGGCATGAACCACCATGCCTGGCTGAGAGTAGGTATTTCTAACTCTTTATTTGCCACTGTATCTGCAGAGCCTAGAATAGTCCCTGGCACATAGAAGAAATTCAGTAAATATTTTTCAAATGAACGAAAAAATGACTCTTTGTACAAGTCTCCTCATGTTAGTTTTTCAAGAGTAGATTCCCATAAGTGGGATTGTTTCCCCTCTAATGAATATTGCCAAACCATCCTCACCAATTTTCACTGTCATGACAGATATACGAGGGTTTGTTTCCCCATTTCATTATTGTCACACTGTATATTTCTGCCAATCTGATGGATGTGAACGATATTTCCTTGTTTTATTTTGCATCTTTTTGTGATTAATGAAGTTGAGCATTTTTTTCTTCAGCTTTTCCTGTGATATACTTACTCATGTCTTTTGCCCATTTTTCCACTGGGTTATTTATCTGAGATAGAAAAAGAGAGAGAGATTTATAAATATAGATACATAGATATACTTTTTATACCATTTTTAGACATCCTTTTTATTAATGTCTTGCAAATATCTCCTTCTAGTTGAAAACCAAGATTTTCCCCTAGCTTTAGCCCCCACTGATGATTCTTACCTGATCTGGTCTTTGTAATGGTGGTTGAAAATGATTCATTTAAAAGTTTTTTAAGTTTCATTTTTCAGATATGGGTCTTTAACCTGGGAATGATTTTATGTATGGTGTGAGATAGGGATTGAATTCTATCCCCCCCCTCCCATATGGGTAATCAGCTACATTTGTCAGAGTTCATTTTTCCCCATTTCTTCATCCATCAAATTTCCTTTTTTTTTTTTTTTTTTGTAGAGACAGAGTCTCATTTTATCGCCCTTGGTAGAGTGCCATGGCGTCACACAGCTCACAGCAACTTCCAACTCCTGGGCTTAGGCAATTCTCTTGCCTCAGCCTCCCAAGCAGCTGGGACTACAAGTGCCCACCACAATGCCCGGCTATATTTTTTGTTGCAATTTGGCCAAGGCCAGGTTTGAATCTCCCACCCTCAGTATATGGGGCCAGTGCCCTACCCATTGAGACACAGGTGCACCCCTGTTCAGTAGTCTTTACTCTGTCCCATTGGTCTGTTTATCCTTGTGCCAGTACTACAGGGTCTTAATTGCTATTCCTTTATAATAAAATTTTATATCTAGTAGAACAAATCTCCATCATATTCTTATAAAATTGCCACCCTTTCTTGCCATCCAGGCAATTATAGTTATTATCACAGATAATTTTCACAACAACCCTGAGAAAGATTACTAGTAAACAATTTCTCAGGTCACAAAACCTGTAAGGACTTTGGTCTGAGGGAAAGCTCTTTCCATTACTTTCTGGGGTTCTGCCTTCCCAAGGTCAAAGGGGTAATTTTCTAGGCATGGAAAAAGTGGAGGTCAGGGAATCAAGTGTAGTGAAAGAGAAAAGAGAGGTGAGAGAAGAAAGGAAGGTGTCAGATTGGTTTGGGTTTGGTCTCTGGGATAGGGGCTTTGCCAGCTGAAGGATGGAGCTTGAACTTGGCTGGCAGACTGGAAACAAAAGATTGTAAGGAAGGGGACTGAGAGAATTCCTCTTTTAGGACTGATCACCTCATTGGTGTCCATGGGCACATCTTGTCACTTTTCCCTTGGGCAGTGCAGTGTGGTATTAATTAGTCTGAAATGAGGACCAATGGCTGCTTTTGTGCTGGGGTGGTGGTGGTGGCGGTGGGAGAGTTGAGAAACATGGAGGGGAAAGGATCTGCCTGGCTTTCTGGAAGGCCAGGCAGATCCGATTCCAGAAAGGTGCCGTAGGGGCTTCTATCCTCCACCAGCCCACCCCATCCCTGCCTAATTAAGGGACCCTAATCAGCTTGTGGAGATTAAGGGCTCTGGCCGGCTGTTCCCACAACCCCGCCCTGGCCTGGGCTGGCAGGGGAGAACTGTGGGCGGGCGTCAGAAGGGGGATCAGCCCGGTGACCCCTCACCCGGGCCCTGGGCCCGAGCCCCAGACTTTCCGGTGAGTAGCAAACGCCCCTCCTCACCGCCTCACTTGTCTGAGGGTGTAGGTGTGTCCCCATTGAGCCCAATGGGAGGTCTTAATTCCCCTAAAGGCTCTGATGAAGCGGAAGGGGCAGATAAGTTGGGATGGGAAGCAGGGGGAGCACGAACGGGGCTGGGAGGCCATGCCCTTGGCCCCCACCTAGTGATGAGGAGGGGGATCACGGGTTAATCGGACTTTGAGAAACTGAGGGCTTTGGGAAAAACCCTAAGGGAGCCCTCAATCGCCCACCCTGCGGGTTTGTGTTCACAGAGACGGCAATGACCGCCTGTGCCCGCGGTAGGCTTCGGGACCCCAGGCTCTGCGACCCCGAGCGGTGGGCTCGGTCCCTGCCCGGCCTCCGATGGGCCCTGCCGGGGCCGTGGCGTCGGCTCGGGCTGCTGTTCCTGCTGCTCCTCCTGCCGCCCTCCGCCCTCTCCTCAATGTTCACCGTGGGGGTGCTGGGCCCCTGGGCTTGCGATCCTATCTTCGCCCGGGCCCGCCCTGACCTGGCCGCCCGCCTGGCCACCGCCCGCCTGAACTCCGCCCTGGCAGGCGGGCCCCGCTTCGAGGTCGCGCTGCTGCACGAGCCGTGCCGGACGCCCGGCTCGCTGGGGGCTGTGTCCTCCGCGCTGGCCCACGTCTCGGGCCTTGTGGGTCCAGTAAACCCTGCAGCCTGCCGGCCAGCCGAGCTACTGGCCCAAGAGGCCGGTGTCGCGCTGGTGCCTTGGGGTTGCCCCGGAACTAAGGCGGCGGGCACCACAGCCCCGGCCATGACCCCGGCGGCAGATGCCCTCTATGCCCTCCTTCGAGCATTCCGCTGGGCGCGCTTGGCTCTGGTCACCGCCCCCCAGGACCTGTGGGTGGAGGCGGGACGCGCATTGTCCTCGGCACTCAGGGCTCGGGGCCTGCCCGTCGCCGTGGTAACTTCCATGGAGCCCTCGGACCTGTCTGGGGCCCGCGAGGCCCTGAAGAGGATCAAGGACGGGCCCACGGTCAGAGGTAGGCTCCCCTACAGAGTGCGGGAGGTCGGCGGGTTCTGCAGACAGCTGGGCAGCGCCACCAACCAAGCGTCTGTGTCCGTAGTGGTGATCATGGTGATGCACTCGGTGCTGCTGGGCGGTGAGGAACAGCGTTGCCTCCTGGAGGCCGCAGAGGAGTTGGGCATGGCCGATGGCTCTCTGGTCTTCCTGCCATTCGACACTCTCCACTACGCCTTGTCCCCAGGCCCAGAGGCCTTGGTAGCGCTCTCCAACAGCTCCCAGCTTCGCAAGGCCCATGATGCTGTGCTCACCCTCACCCGCCACTGTCCCTCAGAGGGCAGCGTGCTGGACAGCTTGCGCAGGGCCCAAGAGCATCGGGAGCTGTCCCCTGACCTCAATCTGCAACAGGTAGATGGACAGGGAAGGGGAAAGAGCTGAGGAGCACAGGGGAAGAGGGAGGGGATAAGCCAAAGTGGAGAGAGGAGGATAGAGTCAACGGGGAGAGAACTGTTAGCAGCTCTGGCGTTATGGAGCAGTGTAGAAGCTCTCTGGTCTTGCTTGAGACATCTTAGTGCGTTGGGATTTTCTTCAGAGAGCAGGCAATGAAACCTCTCAAGTCCAGCTCCAAGTAGTAAAACTCTGATGAATTGTAAACTGCAACATCTTTTGCCGTCTGCTTCAAAGTAAACCAGCACCGGCTCGGCGCCTATAGCTCAACCAGCTAA